CTTTAGCTTCATTATACTAATACAATATACGTAAAGTGAAAATTCTCTAACAGACGATAGTAACTTTCCAAGGATCGATCGTCAGAGACATGATCTGTGCTATTTATTCCGATATTTCGAACACAATTTTTTTCTTTTATTTTTCCACTGGCGCTCTATTCTTTATTTTCTTTGTTGCTATGCGCTCGTTATTTATTTTCTTTTTTTTATCGCATTTTTCTTAATTTACTATTATTATTATTATTATTATTGCAATTCTAACTATTGATTTAGCTAACGAATAAGCCTATTGTACACATCTATTATATCTACAAGAAGTCTCAACGCCCTATTATATACTTCGATAAACTCAGAAACACGGATATTGATTATTCTCGAAAGTTAGGACTTGATCAATTGATGCTTTCTGTGTTGGTCATACGACGACTGTGGCAAATCAATACATGACTAGCCATCATTCTCGATATCTATCATATAATTGTTTATCTGTGCAAAAATTAGATACTGTGCTATGTGAAATGTATTCTAACCATGTAAATTTCAAGAAAGGCTTTGGAATTTTCTAGAACAGTCGCAGGTTTGTTGTTGATGCCGTTCAATACCTTTGCCCATTGCTAAGAAACTATGGAAAAGGAGTCTAGTGTTTGTTGTCGTTGGTTGATAGGAGAGAGAGTTCGTACTCAATGGCCTTTGACTTTGACTCCTTTTGCTAAGGCCGGTAATGGGGTGAGGAGAGCTACAAAACTTCGACTTAAACTGTACACTCACTATTTTCTTCGAAAACATATGTGTATTCCACAAAAAGGAAATAAATAAGGAACGAATAGCAATAAAGCAAATAAAAAAAACGAGCGTCGGTAAAAAAAAAAAAAAAAGAAAATTTCTGTTAGAAATGCAGGAATAGATAACACAGACCGTTTGTCTAACGATCGATTATTCTTGTAAAGTAACTATTATTTGTTAGAGATTTTTTAATTTGCGTATTTTGTATTAGTATAATGAGGCTGAAAACGATATGTGAATTCTACATTTTAGACAATTCCGGGCTGTACTGATAAGTTTTTCAATAAATGGCAAAATTTTTCATCGCTTTCAATGATTAAAATTTTGATTTGAATAATTCACATGATGTTTCTTATTTGAACACAGAAATGAAACAACAGTTTAGTGTTGTCAGTAACTTTAAAGGGTTAAATAATTTTTCGAAAAAGTATGAGCCATTTTACTTCGATCTATTTTCGCCTAAATGCATGTATTATCGAAAACATAAAAAATGAATGACCAGTCTTTTATGTGATGGGTATTAAAAATGATCAACAAATAAATTGAATATTATTTTATAACATATTGCATAAAATGAAAGAGAGACAATGATATTGTTACTTTCATCGTAAATTAAACTTCAAATAAATTTTAACATTAGAAAACAATAAATTTATATATTAGTTAATTTCTATATGTTAATAAAACTAACTCAATCTATTTGATGATCAATTTTATTATTTATCATATTTTCTATAATATAACAAGAACATTGAATCGCGTAAAATAAAGTATTTTTGTACCACAAAAATGTAAGAAATTGATTGTTAAGCAAAAAATTGAATAACAAACATCTCTGTATTATCTATATAAAATGAAAAAATGAATGAAAATAACAAACACAACAATTGGTAGAAGAGAAAGTACAATATCATACTAAGAACTATTTAGAAAGTGAAGAAAGTACAGAAATTACATAATGTACAACGTATGCGAAGTACATATACAAACAAATCGTGATGAATTCCGGTTCGTTCACAGCTGGTTGAAAGATACCAGAGCAGAAAAGAAAAAGGTATAACTTCGAATGAAATCTGATTGCTTTAAACCAGCAACGATAAGCTACATAAACTTTTGTGTATACAATGTATATGTAACTTATCTCGTTTATTTCAATCTTATCTTTAGTACACAGGAAAAGTTCGATAACTCATCAGATCAATATCAAAATTAATCTATTCGTGACACTATTTTTAGATACTTTTTCTAAGTTGATATTAGAAATTTTTGTATCTTAAAAGAATAATTATACTAAGATGGTGTTCACTTGTTTTGTCTGAGTGTAAATTTTTCGATTCAGCTTTATTCCGACAAGAATTTCATGATAAGATCGTTACAATCTCAACTTCAATTAGCTATTACAGTTCTCTATTACTTTTTCAAGAAAAACTGCGAATACCATTAGGTTGAGAATAATTTTCTCTATTAAATTGTATGAAAACGGTCTTTTGCCTCGACTAAAAATACATAACGTTTCATTTGATATTAATTCACTATTCTGTATACGTTTCGTTTGCTCTATCTGAGTAATAGTACTGCTAGTACTTCTTCCAAATTTCCATTTTTATCTCATATTATAAGAAAGTTCTATTATATACCTTTTCATTCTTTACTTTGATAAAAAGATTTGTTGTGTCGTGTCACATTCATATTTATTTCATCATGTTATATAAATATTATTATTTTGAACTTTTAGTTTATATTCCAAAATATATGATGATCGCGACATCTAGTATTTAAGTATATCGATTGATTCTTAATATGATCGAATTGTTATTCATCATCATTATCAGCATTGATTGAATCAGTGATAATTATACTGGTAGTGTTTAAATAGCAAATTTACTAAATAGAAGCAAGATGATGTATGAAATACTTGTTACATCCAATGTATACGTCATTGTTTTACTCTTTCATAATTACAATAGAGTGTGTATCATACATGTTGTAGAAAACATTTAATATTATGTCTCTCAAAATCGTACATTTTTTCACGATTCTTCTAAATCTTCTATGTTATTTATTCGAAATTTACTTTTTATCATTTATCGTATATTTATTCATAAAAAATCATTTTTTCAATTGTTTTCTTATTTTGAAAAATAATCCGAATTTTTTCTTATTTAGAAAAAAAAAGTTCCAATTTTCAACTTTTTGATCTTACAACTTTGCCAACAGTTGGAGATATATATTCTATTAATGATACAGTATATTTGACAATAAATGTTCTTCATCGAAATTAATAATGACAAATCATACCGATATACATACATTCAATTATCCATTTTGTTCTGTACTTAGTGATACAATTGATCAATATATCTCATTAGTTGTAACATATCATTTATATTTTGATTTCAATGTTTAAAAAACTATAATATCTGATGAATTTAAACAAACAGAATAAATTTGTAATAAAATGATTCGACAATTATTAAAAATATATGTTAAAAAATGCATTATTAATAAAAACTAACAAGTTTATGGATTACACATTGTATTTGATTAAATATATTCAGATTTATTTAAATAAATCTATCTGTTGATATCTACGTGATAAACCATCTACAGTCAATGGATATGAATATTCTATTAAATATTGTGACAGTTCTCATACAAAAACAAATTAACATGTTCATTGCTTTGTTATGGTTATGAATGAAGCTCTTGCGAAGTGTATTCGATAAATTGTTAGTTTTATTGATCCCGATAGAGAAAAGGTAAGATCAATTTATACAAACAATTATTTTTTGCGAATTGAAGTATAACATTTTGATAAAAAGATTTATTTTTTATAAAATAATATTCTTATATATTATTATTTAATCTTAACTATCAAAATTTTGAATTTAAAAAAAAAAATAAATAAATCTTCTGAGTTTGCTAGTTTTTGCTCAATTTTTTAAAAATACTTATCATTGTGTCAGACATTCCTAGAATAAAAGATTTACTATTTTAAATATTAAATGAACAAGACCAGTCGAAGAAATATTTTTCTTTGTCTATATTAATCTTAGATATGCGAGCAATAAACAGGCAAATCTCAATGAAACAATTTTGAGTTATCAATGAAAAGAATTTTACTAAAATGTTTTAAAATGATTACGTGATAGTTTCCGGTCATCCATCCAGAAGTATTCTTAGCCAAAACCTGATTTATAGCGTTTCGGTATTTTAAATGATAGAAAACTGCAACTTTTATAATTTTACATAAAGAATTTAACAATATTTTTCACTTCTTAAATCTTGAAATTTGATTATCATGTTTAAACGGATGACCTTTTTTTTTCATTTCTTTCTTCGTTCTCGAAATCATTGCATCACAAAACACAAGATTTGATGCATATTTTACAAAGTACATTAACTTTGTTCATATCGTTAGTATGATGATGTTATGTCTATAGGGATCTACGAAAATTGATCGAACGAAAAATAGTCGAACGAAAATTGGTTGATACGAAAATTAGTCGCTACGAAAATTGATCGACGCGAAAAATAGTCGAGAAATTTATAATAAAAAGGAAAAACAAGAATTCTTTGACAAAATCGACAGCAGTGTGAAAAATAAAAAATATTAGTTTATAAACTGTCTCTAGTACTTAAAACTTTTTGCGTTAGTACCATGTACAAGTAAAGTGAATGCCGAGCTTTCTCGAAAACAACTGATTTAAAGGAAGAGAAAAAGTATAAATAAAGAATGGGTACAGGTATTGGGATGAGTCTTCTTGAACCCTATCACACACTCGCCCACACCCACATTCGCACTCTCGAAATGTTTTTTTTTTCTTGTTTTCACATTTATATCAGAATTATTTTGATATAATTTCATGAAAATCCGTGAATCTGACAATTTTAATTGTGAAAAGAAATTCTATTTCATATGCTGTATGTATCAGAAAAACATGCTTCGCTGTAGTGATCTGCATTTTGGTAATGGCGTCTTCTGCTTTCTTTTCTAATCTTTTTATTTATTCATCTCAGTTGAAGCTTTTATTTATTTATTTATTTTTTATTATGAATTTCTCGACTATATTTCGCTTCGACCAATTTTCGTCGAGCAATTTTCGTTCGAGCAATTTTCACTTTCCCGTGGACATGATGAAAATGATTATCGATTTTTAGTTAAAGGTGGTGAAGATATAGGAGAAGATTAACGTATTCAAGCTTTATTTTTAATTATGAATGATTTTTATGATAATGATTCTAATTGTAATCAATCAAATTCAGCACATATTACTGTACAAACTTACGAAGGTAAACATGAGTAGAAAATTTTGTTTATGTCAAGAAAAAAAAAATTCTTTTTATTCAGTTATACCAATATCAACAAAATTAGGTATCATTGAATGGCTTGATAATACACGTCCATTAAAAGAATTTATTGAGGCAAATTATGCACAAGCTAAACATGATATTATTTCACAAGGTTAACATCCAAGAAAACTTTATCAAGATTATGTTACGAATGTATTTCAAAAAGCTAAACCAACAACTAAATCAACCAGTAATACAATTATGTATGCTGAATTATTTATTAGTTTAACAAAAGCACAAGTACAAGACGAATTTAATAAAATTCAATCTGTTACACCTAGTGATTTACTTCGACGTGCTTATTATAAAATGACTAATTCATATGAAGGATTTGATACATTACGTAGACAATTTATAAAAAGTTTTGCTGTTTTATGTACAAGTCATTATATTCTTAGTATTGGTGATCGACATCAATCGAAGTATGTTTAATGTATAGAATATATTTTTTTAGTGAAGAATTATTTATTTATTTAGTTTTCTCATTGATACATCATCAGAATAAGTTATTGGTATTGATTTTGGTTCACCATTCAATGCTGCAACTATTGTAAGACTAAATTAAATTCTTAAAAACAAAATTATAAATGTATCTTTTAGCATTCATCTGTTCCCGAACTTATACCTATTCGTTTAACACGACAACTTATTCAATTAATGTCATCAATTAGTACCAATGGTCTATTTCGTGCAACGATGATTCATACAACGAGTGCTTTACGTGAAAATTCTGATTTATTACATAGTATAATGAATGTTTTTATCAAATAATCACTTATGGAATGGATGATAAATGTTTCTATTGTTTTATTTTTCTTTTATTATAATTCATTGATAGGAACATGCACTTAAAACAAGTAAACAAGTTTCCCAAACTAGTATGTTAGGATGAATATGAAAAATGTAAAAGAGATAATTATGTTTTTATTTTCTTTTTTTTTCAGAATGAACTACGATTTGTATTGATGATACATATACCAAAGATCGAATAAAAAGCGCACGATTGAAACTCAATGAAATTAATTCAGCAGTTATTACTGAGTATGCATGAGAGAAAAAGAGAAAGGCTAATTTATTGATCTATTTTCATTTTAGTTCTGATCTTAAATTAAATAATTTTCTTCATCCATCAAATTTGAAAGAAGCACTTGATCAAATGGAAAAAGTAGTTGATGGTGATCAAACACAAAATAAACGTACACAAATTTTAATGCAATATAAATCAAATCGTTGTCATAAATTGACAGTTGATGAATAAATTAATTGTATTATTGATCAAGCAACTGATGTCGATATACTTAGTCGATCCTAAACGGGCTTAGAAACATTTATCTAATTCAATGCACTTTTTCTATGATATTTATTTTCTTGTTGTTCTTTACATTCAAAACCTTTATTTTGACAAATAACCTTTTTTCTCAGTACAGATAGTTAAATTGAAATTATTTTTTTTTATGTGTATGTGCACGACGATTCTTTTTTTTCTCATTGTGTAATTCGACTTACTCTTTTTCTGTCCAGTTTATAGTTGTGACTTTTTTGGTGAAATTAAATAATAGTATATAGACAAGAATATTTCAATCAACAAATTAATTGCTTTAGAAAAACTCAAGTCAACAATGAAACAAGTTCACTGTTTTATTTTGAATTAAGATGACAGTATTGATTCTAAATATTCGATGATAAATATCAAGAATAAAGTTTACGGATTAGAACCAGTTGACAAGATTTGTTGACATATATTAGCATTATTTTACATCTGCAATTAATCGAATAGTATGATACGATCCAATCTACAGTTGCTAGAAATGTTTTCTTTTCTGGAATGCGGATGTCGGTCGATGCAATGTAAAATTTCTTTTTCTTCTCCGCTCCCTTCCAGTTTCCACACTCACATCCACAGCTTAGGTATGGAGATTAAAAATAGGGAGGAAAATATCAAGATAGGGATATTAGATATAGGAGTGTATACAATGACTCGTCCATGAAAATTTTAGATTATGCATATGGAGTTATATATAGATATGATGTGTAGATAGGAATAAACATGCATGGATAAGGTATAGGTATGTTGGGACTAAGGATATATTGATTAGGAATAGGAACATAGATTATGTCTTTTGCAAAAGTCTTTGCACAAATTGTTCTTTCGTTTTTCGAATATGTGTTCAGAATTTTTTCCAATACAAGATCGGCTGACTGTGAGCTAATGATTAAAATGACACTAAATGTAGTTAATACAAATATTTATTAAAGAAGAATAAATTCTTAACAACATCGATCCATGACTATAATATGTAATTCGCAGTCATATTTTCAATGCTGTATAAAACATCATATTCTCAATCACCAGCTGATCCTTGTAACTGCAGCAAAACAATGAAATTGTCAATATACAGTTCTGTGAAAAATTATAGAATCACCCGTGTGAGTCAAATTGTTTGTTCTTTCTCTGCTAGTTTGGACTCCCGAGTGAAGCCGAATCTACGTGAATATATGCATTCGAGTATGCTCTATCCAAATATGAAATCAGATTCTTCAACGCTACTAGATGTGAGGAAAAACAAGTTTGTTGAAACTGGTCAATTCTTGCCTGTAAAAAATCACAGAATCACAATCACAATTTCGCTGTTTTTGTATCATGAGGATTTCAATTCTGATTGAAAGTTACATATAAAGATAGAGAAACTCCTGCTAAATATTTTCATTACAAAAATTTGAAAAACCGTTTATATCTGGATTTAAAATGAAGAGTTATTGATCAAGCCAAAATAGCTGGAAAAACCACCGGACTTTAGTAGTTTGCTAAGGGTATTTGAAATTTAAATGGCATTGATATTTCGACAATGGATTTTAATAGAAGACACTTTTTGCAACAAAATGATGGGTTCAAGAGCTTGGTACGCTATTTCGTAGCAGACACATACAGTGTCGAAAAAGATGAATCGTGTGTGCGAAAAAAGTACAGAAAATGGCTTAAAATAGGGGTGCAACAAATCCAATTTTTCTACATAAAGATTGTAAATTTTTGGCATGAAGACCCACCAAATTCAACCAAATCTTTGTGTCAACTATAACCAGTTTTATTTGCTCTACTCGATAATGGTGTAAAATGACCAAATCTATAAAAGAAACTGCTAAGATTTGGTCATTTTACACCATTATCGAGTAGAGCAAATAAAATTGGTTATAGTTGACACAAACATTTGGTTAGATTTGGTGAGCCTTCATGCTAAAAATTTACAATCTTTATGTAGAAAAGTTGGATTTGTTGCACCCCTAGCTTAAAATCGTTGCATATTATCGTTGTCATTTTGACACCGTATGTATGCCTGGCATGAAATAGCGTACCAAGCTCTTGATCCCCTCATTTTATTGCAAAAAGTGTCTTCTATTAAAATCTGTTATCGAAATATCAATGCCACTTATATTTCAAATACCTTTAACAAACTACTGAAGTTCGGTGATCTTTTCCAGCTATTTTGGCTTGATCAATAACTTTCTCATACAGACGACTAACTATTTGTTTCACCATGTTAGATGGTTGCTGTTGATATAATGATGACATTAACAATGACAATATTCAAATATTGATAAAGTTGATTGTCATATAATAAGATTTAAAAAAAAATATTCATTTGATCATGTAGAATGTAATTTAGATCAGAGAAGGTTGAAAGAGAAGATTAATCATTAGAATATATTTTTGTTCATTTGACTTAATCAGACTTTTCATTTGATGAAAATATTTAGTTCAAATAATGCATCGAAATCTTGTGAGGCTGAGATGAAAATCATGAATGACATTCACTGAGACTATCTGAAATGACTTTTCACTGAAATTCATTTATGTAGAGAAACAAAAGTGCAGAAAGTAATATAATCATTTTTTGTTAATCTTTCTTTTGATTGATATGGAATATATTCATAATTATTAGATTTCATTACAGAAGAAAAAGATTATGCTGTACCTAGTTTATTTTATTGAAGAATTACAAATTCAATTTTATCGAAAAAAACAATTGTCAATTGACGAAATAATGATAAACAATTATTAATTGACGAAATAATGAAAACCAATTGTTAATTGATGAAATAATGAAAACCAATTGTTAATTGACGAAATAATGAAAACTAATTGTTAATTGACGAAATAACGAAAAACAATTGTTAATTAAGTATACAAGATTTAGAGCAAAACAATATGAACTAAATTTAACAAGAACTAGATCATTTCATTTTAGATAATTAATTTGATAAATAATAGACGAACATTATACTATATTGACCAAAAAAAACAGCTAGAGACACACCACCACCACCCATCAAACCTAAAAAACTAAATTTAAAATAAATTTAAAATAATAAATATTAGATAATACCATGATTTGTTGTTCTTTGAATATTTTTAAATTTGATTCACATGTTAAATATATTCAAGACGAGCTATACGTTTACATCATGTTCTTCATTTGTAAAAAGCCAAATCGATCATATCATATGTGGACGAATATAATTGTCGTACATATTAACAAAATGAGCATATAATATATAAAAGACGAGTACAGCATATTGAATTAAAATAATGAATAATCTCAATCCGTTTCTAAACCAGGTTTTGAAACGTAATACTAAAAGAAAAAAAATTCACGTGTTGCATCTACTATATGAATATACTAACAAAAGATCGATTATCTTGAGGTGGTGGTCCTCTTCGTCTTGGAACCA